AAATAACATAAAACCATAACAGACAAAATTCGAAATATAATTAAGCAAAAACTAAATCTACTCGTTAGTGTATCGCACTGGAGTTTTGACGCTGCGCCCACTTCGCGTAACAATTTTTTTCGTTTCGGGTACTCTGCTTTCAGACACTCCCGTTTTCGCGTCGTTTTCGGAGGCACTCACTTCCGCGCCTTCACATAAACTTAAACGAGATCCTCTGTCTTCGGTCTCTTCCGTGTTGTCCGTTCGGTCATTGCCTAGCGTCTGAGAAAAATCTGCTGGGCACTCCATGGGGTAGATACGCTCATTAATACTGTTCTCAGCTATTTTTTGAAAGTCTACTCGAGAAAACGCGTTCTCAGTTCCGACAAAGTTAGTTCCATTATCACTGTATATAGTCTTCGGACGACCACGTCTGGCAATAAAAACGTCTTAGAACCTGCATGAAGCAGGCGACTGACAACGAGGTGCAAAGTTCGACAAGTACAGTACGATATACGGCACACGTAAAAAGACATATTATCCATGCTTTTCCTCCGGTGGCTAGGTAAGCGGTCCGCAAAAATCTACGCCCGTCGTTTCAAATGCTACCGCGTCCCGGACGCGATCTACTGGTAACGGCGGAGCACTTGCCCCGAATGGCTTCGCATTATGCCTTTTGCAGACGACACTTAATGATGGCTGATTTTATCGCCCGTCGACCACCTAAAATCCAAATATCGTTCACGCACGATGCTCGTGAGTCCTTGAGTTCCAATATGACACGACTTAACATGTTCCCGGAATAACAAACCTATTCACTAAAAAATGTTTTGCCGGTAAAACTATAGGAAACCGAAATACTCTAGGTCGTTTCTATTACTAATACGCGGACTGTAAGCGAATTAGTCCATGCTCATCCTTAAAAGCGTTCATTACCGATAATCTGTTGTCTTTATTCAGAAATAGAGTGTTCGTCACTCTTATTCCACTTTATTCCCAACACCTGAGTTGAAGCTGCAAGGTTTTCATCCTGTATTTGGCCAGTATACTCCCACCCTCTGAGGTCAAATTTGCCTTCACTCATTATTATGTTTGACTCTTCTATAAAAAGTTCTCAGTTCCTGCTCATTTCTTACACTGGTAACACAATTATCAACGTAAAAACTATTGGATAAATTTGTAATTGTGTCTTCTGAAACATTAAGCCGTGCCGAAGAGCATTTTTCTAACATCTGCGATAAATGATTAGTCCAGCGTAGCTGCCAATAAAAATGGACTACTACTTATTCCAAATACAACTCGACAGTGACGGTAAATCCTTTCTTTTTCAGTTTTATCTATCCATAGAAAGCGAAGAAAATCCTGTCAGGTTTATGCAGGCCAATTTGCAAAAATGCTTTCCGAATATCGGAGATTACACCAATTTCCTTTTGTCTAAATCTCAACAAAATAGCTGGAATCAATTCAATCAGGTTAACCCCCTTTTCAAGACACTGATTTAAAGAAGGTCTGTGTTTTTCTTTGGCCGAAGCATCAAAGACCGGTCTGATTTTTGTAGATAAGCTATTTGGCTTAATTATCGGTCTATGGGGGTAAATAATGACATTCTTGGCTAGGCTGCTCCTCGGACATTTCTTCAATTATACCTTCGTCCAACAATCCTTAAATATTTGGTCGTAGGCTTCAAGATATCCGTCTTTCGTTATTTTCTTAAATGTGCTCTCGAGTCTCCTTTTTGCAATTTGGTAGTTGCTCGGCAATGCTGGATGTCCTTCCAGCCATGGGGAGTCTCACTTCATATCGTCCACTAGAATCCGATGACACTGTTTCAAAGAAAGTTTCCTGGCTGCTAGCGCAGTTTCTTCACTTGACTTCCTTTCAGTTGGATCACCAATGCCCAAAACGTCTAGCTCCCAAAGATTACTAACTGAAGCATTTTTAACAAAAAGTGATACAACCGATGTGGTATTATTGTCCCGTTGACCTAAAGGTATCTTGCCCATTAAAGTCCAACCTAATAATGTTTCTACAGCTACCAATCCACTTTCCAATATGTGCCTCCTCCCAGTATAGAGTTTTCCAGCAATATCAGCACCTATTAAAATCTCTATAGGAGACGCATCACCCAAGTCCGATAGTTTTATATTAAACATACCAAGTTCTTCTATCCAGGGGACCATTAAATATGGAAGAGACGTCGCTACATATAACGTTTTGATCTAGTGCCTCAAATGTATAACTATAATTATTATGAAACACTCTAACATCATAGCAATCATGTTTTTGCGCTAATTGGTTTCCTCCAAACAATCCATGTACTAGATTAATCTGTCGTTTACTAGGATAACCCAAAAGTTTAGCTGTAGATTTCAAAATGTACGTTTTTTGCGATCCGGTATCTATAAGAGCACGTACAACTCGCGACTTGTCTAAATATGTTTATTTCAATACGCAGAGTTTGCAAAAAAACATTCGTATTAGCACTATTAGCGGAGCGTCTGTTCAATTCTTGGCACGGCAATGCCATCGTTTTCTTTCTGCTCTTCTGTATCCTGCTTTACCCGGTGTCTTGAAAAGTTCAGTGCACATATAAAGGTACATGCGATTTAGAGCAAATTAAACACTTAATTGACTGCGACATTTTCGAGACTGATGTCCAGTTTTCAAACAACGAAAACACGCGCCATTTTCTGTCAAAATATTTTTCCTTTGGTCATAAGTTAATTTCTGTGCTTTAAAACAGTGGCTGCTTTCATGCGAATTCTGACAAAAAAACACATTTATAGATGGTGTGAGAATTAACTAAACCCATCGCGGAAGGAGACTTGTGCTTGTTTTCCTCGTGTCTCCTTGTTTTTGGACCTGTAGATTTTAAATCTTCGGTTTTAGCAGCATGCAAATGGAAATCCTCGACTGCTAAAGAAAGGTGTTGCTCATTGTCAACTTCCTTTTTCAAGAACAACATTAAACTCTGAAGTCGATTTTCGATGCTTGCGATGCCGGCTGAATTAAGTGACGCTTGTGATCGATACTTTCTGGCAATCGTTGCCAAACTCTTAATAAATCTGAAGGTAGACAGATTCAACTAAAGGAAATAACATAGCCGCGTATTTATCCGACTTAATACCGAGTGTTTCCAGAACCCTCAACTGAGTCTCTATTTTGTCGTATAACAAGGATAGATCTAATTTATTGCCAGACGCAGTATTATTTATTACTAATTTAAGTAATTCCCGTACATAAACTTCGATCTGCAAGTCATCCCGACCGAAACGCGAAATAAGACAGTCAATCATAGCATCATAATTACTTCCAGTGGCGGGAAAACTATCCACTAGTTGCCTAGCTCTACTACCCGGTATAGTAGCTTGAATCAAATATTCGACCTTGTCGTTCGGATCTATGTCAGGATCATGATGAACTTTTTGAAATTGTGACCAAAAAGGCAACCAGTTTTTAATATTCCCGTCGAATTTTTTGAACTCTAATGTAGGTAATTTAAATTTTCGCTTACCGCGTCTGCTGTTCTTAAACTACTCCTATCATCAGATATCCTAGAAGCTACCTCACCTTCCACTGCACCTGTCACTATTGACTGCATACGGTCTTCGAAACTGCATACTGAGATCCAAAAACTTCTTGCTATAGTTGTCACTACACTCAATTTCTGCTAAAAAGGTCTTCTTCACTAGCGTCTTCACTTAGTAATAAACCGTAGATTTCTTCATCACTTTTCCTTAGGTCTTCAAATTTTTTGGCGTAATAGATCCAAGGAAACTTTAATTGATCGTATCTCACCCTCCGGCGCCGACAAAAGCTTATCCATTTCATTCGCCGTCCTCGTGAAGGTGCTACGGAGCACTTTGCGATGTTTCTTCTTTTGATCCATTTTTCTCTGCAAACTTGGTCAAAAACCACACACGTTTACCGAAAAGTTACAGGCGAAACCGCGATAAAGTTTGTCCGGTGATCGTCAATTCAATTTTGTTACACCTCGTATACAACCACGATTAATTTTATGGAAACAGTCCTGTCACGGTCGCCAAATATGTCAAGTGTGTACCAACGCAATTCTACCCGAATTTGCGTATAAAATACACGGTTCGTATATTACAAAATTAAACTTCAAAATTATTGAAAATCTATATTTGCCAGTTCCCAACAAAACATATCGCGTGCTTTTAAAAAATGAGTGTAACAAAAATTATCACTTATAAGCATCAATCTATACATAGACAAAATTAAAAAATACTACGCCACGGATACCGACCGTTCAGCGCTCAGAGTCTTAGTCAACTGTATAATAAGAACCTCAATCAATTTTTATTACACCATTTACGCGTTAAAATAAAGAAAATAAATTGAAGTGATGGCGATAAAAATATAAGAATTATTGCCGACAAGTGGAAAGATTGTTTATGATTTAAAAAGGTTTTATAGCTAAAGCTTTCTTTGAATTTTAATAAGAGATTTTTAACTTCAGCATTTAAAGCGGTATACAAACAAAAATAATTATCAAATGGCTGTGACATACATTATATTGTTGTAATTTTTGTTCTCATACCTATTAACTGTAATAAATTTGATAATTATTATCTCCTCCAGCATGCAGTTGCCTTAATAAAATCTCCGAATCTGAGTACAGCATCTTGCTGTACGGAAGTGAGACTAGCTCGTTTTTAGGTCCTGAAGTTTGCTCAGAATTTAATGGGCAAACCACGTTACAAATAGAAAGATAATAAAAAAAACTAATATGCAAAAAGAACTACTAGATTCCTACAAAACTTTTAGGGCATATTTGATGTAAGCACAATAACCAGAAGAAGGATCCCTGTACATTCGACTATTGAAATTGAGAGTAGATGAAACAGTAGAATGCTAAATTAAATGCCTACACTTTCCATACGGCGTTGTTCATTTAAGCAAATGTTAAACTTTTCCAAACGTTATTTATAATTTGCTGTATTTTATAAATAATTTAAAAGTTGTCCCTATATAGCGTTTTGAAAAGATAGACTTACCGTTTGAACAAATACTAGAGTTATCAGGATGTCCGGAGCTATCCGTATCACTATCATGTATGGGATTCGAGTGTAGCGAGAGGTCCCTAGGACCGGGACTCGGAGATCGGCCCCTGATAATCGCAGCCCCATCAGCAGGTCCACTTAAGATGTCCGTTATCATAAATCGAGATCTAGTAGCTGCTGTCTGAGGCATGACCTTCGGATCGTCCTGTACTGTCATGCCAAGCACTTTTTCTCCCACACCCAACACTTTGATAGGAATAAAATACGTCGTAAAAAGTTTAAGCACTACTTTAAAAAAAAATCGTTTATTTTAAGTTCGGACGTTTACCGGCGCATTCACTATCACTGATAATGACGTTAGTAAAGTAAGAATGTTAACAACAGGTGTTCGTGCACAGCGCTACATCCACTCTCCAAAGGAACTGTAACTGCTAAACTAACCTAAAGCGTTTGATTCAGTGAATACGCCGACAGTAAATCAGCCATGTTGTCTCTCCCACTTGCGCTTTCATCCCTACCACCGGCGCCACGCCAATGGAAGGGTGAGAAGTCCTAATTGGTCCACCAATCACTGCGCGAGGCGGTTGGATGTCGTCTTCGTGTATTTATTTTATGGGCAGGACTTTGAAAGGGATTTTGTTAGATTGAGTATTTAGGAAAACAGTTTTATGCTTTAAGGTCTTTTCATTGGTTACATAATGAAGCTGGAGGAGAAGAGAAATAAGCGGTGTTATTGTGCTGTTCTATTCTATTAGTTTTGCGTTATGCTGTTAGTGCTGTTTTCCTGTTTTAATAAATTCATTAGAATACTATTTATTTCCTATTTAATCCTAGCACTTTGTTTTGATATACAAATTAGGAATATATCAACACAGATTAATTAGATAAAAAAATAAAAGATTATTAAAATCTTTTCCATAAAATAGTAAAAGTGAAATAAGTATCTGAATTAGTAAGTAAGTGAGAACAATATGGCTCTTAAATGATCAGTATTTATTCGATTTAACCTCAGTGGTGGCGATGAATTGAGAAATATTAGGTTTAAACGTTATAAATAGTTAAAAAGATTATGATATTTAATTAAGTATGATTAACACAAATTTAATCTCTACATCATACAGTGAAAGATCAATAATCCTTTAGCAATCGTAAATTTTAATTTAATTTTTAAAATATATATCAAAATTTCTTTTTTATTTTTAATTAAAAGAATACAATGGATCTACTCCTACACTTAATTTTGTTTTAACACAATCTACTATATTTTTATCCTATTTCCAATAATTAAACTTAGAAACTAATACTTAAATTTGGGGACGTATACCAACTATAACAAGGCGCTGGTTTCTAATATGACCTGTTATCTGTTACACTTTTTGTTTACGGTGTAATCCAATAAATTCAAAAATTATTTTAAACAAATTGTTTTAAAATTAATAAGTATATTTATATCAGATGTTTCACTCTTAAATAATTAAGAGAAAAATTTGACGTACATCGAAATGTACGAGCCATGTAATATTTCTCTGCTTTCACCAACCAATGTACATTCTTAAGGCTGCCAAAAATAATAATATTTTGTTGAAAATCGTTTTGCAATACCAAACATTTATTGCAATCCATCTTCAGATTTATCTGTAATCTGTCGGTTGCTTGGTGCCAATATCTTTCGGTTCGGTGCAGGTGATATAAAAGACAAACGATTAATGCTCATATTACTTCGAATGCAAGATATGTCTGTTATCAGGCGTTCTTTGAAAGAAATTGAATTCACCTGTTTGAGACCAACAAATTTTGATGGTCTCTCGGATAAGTTATCTGGAGCTTTCCCCTTTCAGGAGCTACTAATGACTTGACTGCTTACTTTTTGGAGGTCCTTTGCGTAATTGTATTCCAAGTAGTAGGCCACAATATTTTCCGCAACTAAAATAATTATAGAAATGTAAACACATACTTTTGTAAACGCTTTCGGACAACTGGACTTTATTTCGTAAAATAGACTCTGCTTTAGGTTTTAAATTTTAACATTTTTTTAGATTTTTACGCCTTTTTTTAATGTGCCAAGAATCCGGTTTTTTATAGCCTGTCCAAGCTATATGCCCCTTAGAGCATATTGTTTTTATTTTCTATTTTTCCAACACAGTTAATCCAATAAAGATAGGATTTAGTAGGTAATTAACTACAGAGTTTAATAAGACATCTGTCATGTGTTATGATAATAACTTTATCGATATCTGATAATATGCTTCATACGATATTTATTTACCTAATTTGAATATTTTACATGAAAATTTATATGTCTATTTAGTGATATTTATGAAGGTAATTTAGTGAATTTTACCTTTTTTATTTTAATGATATTAGCATTTTTGTTTCTCTCTCTCTTTGATTTGTGTATCGTTCTTTTTTTTTGGATTCAAAAATTTAAAAACAGTGGCGCTCTTTCTTTTTTGAATAGTTGTCTCTTTCTTAATTTCCTTTTTTTGTCGTTTACAATATTTTCTTATTTATATTTTCCAACTCTAATCCGGCTTAAAATCTACCCGCACTGAGCAACGGGTCCTTCGAGCTTATTGTATACCGCTGTTCTAAGATTAATTCTTCACAATCTAGATCACTAGGTATATTACAGTTTATTGTGAAGAATTGCTTTATTTAAATATAAAAAAATGATCCACATATTAGACCTAAAAAAATGTTTGGTTCTACAACTGATATTGCAAAATTAATTATATAAGTACAATTGCAATTCTATAAAGAAATCAGGTATTTACAGCAAATGATTTTCTAATCGTAACAATTTGTGTTTTGATCGAAAAATATACAAGAGAAGGGTAGATCTATTCATTTCTAAACTAACTTTAAAAAACAATATTGACATACATTTGTATTTAGATTTAAACTCTTACATAATGCAGGGTGTTTTACTGTAGCCTTCACCCTGATCATGTTAAACAACCAAGGGCAAATGAAGAGAAATTTTTCTTTTCATATGCTTGGAAGTAGATATCAATAGAATTTAAAGAAATTCCCAAATACCAGTCAACTTTTGCTTTTAGTACATCTGGATTTGGATTATTCTTTTAGATTAGCAAACCTTAGCTATTTGCAAGCATTTTATGGTTTTACCCGCCACCGGGTGAAAGTAGTCCAGTGATCAGTTTGCAAAACTTTCCAGGTCTATTTTAAAATCCTGGTTTTATTGTGGCGGTTAATTTATACTATCTACAAGTGCGTTTATGTTAATTTGTGATGAGTTTACGTGTACCCGGATTTGGACACTTCACTGATGCAGCTGGGTTCGAGTTTAAGCTGATACTTATCAAATGAGAAAGGTATATATGGGTTTGGAGTCGACCTTTGTCATCCTTGGCAATCATCTTTATTTGTTTTGTTACTTGTTTCCCTGTGAAGTTCCTGATTTCGGTTTTGTTAGACATATATCACGGAGTGTTGATTATATTGTTTGATGTGCGGTTTTGGACTCTTAGAAGGGAAGCAGTGTTTTTCTTACTAGTACAGATATATAGTTATAGACCATAAGACCATACTGGTTAAATTAGTAAGCTGTTTTCTTTACTAGTGGTACTTATACGAACCATCAAGCTCCACGTTGTAGTTTGATGGCTGTAGGTATTTATGATGTTTGTGAGCTTTACGTTGATCTTTACATAGGTAATTGCTGTATTGTTTTTTTGTGTTAATAAGTCAAGTCTCGGAGCCTTTTTAGGATTAACATTATTTTTGATTACCTTTTGTCGAACTGGCGGGATCTGTTGTACTGGCCTGTTTATTTTTTTTAAACAAATATTCAGTAGTTTGACCATCTGTTAGATCGTTTACATATTGATTTATTAATTAATTTTTATTTGTATCTATTTTTCATATTTAAAAGATTTCAATAGGTAGATTTAATTTTAACAGGTGTAGTTTTTTGCAATGTTTTTCTGGCTTTTCATTTTCTTTGCACTAATCTCGATTTTCTTTTATGGTTATTATTTGTTTCCTTTCTTATTGAATATTACTAAATTATCAAAAATAATAGGTACATAAATAACAAAATACACCTGCAGATGCATTAACCGGATTTTATTTTTATTTAGCGTATGACGTTTCTACACATCTACAATATTACAATAAACATTACAATAAACATTAAAATTGACTCGGTATAAAAATACTTAAATCATGCCCAAATTATAGGCAAACATCGAGGTTATTTATATGTGCATCAGGTCTTACGTGGTAGGTCAAATCCAGGAGGTGTCTCTGTGATGCAAGGCATGGCTGTGTTTGGTTGAGCTGCCGGCCATTCATGGATCCATTTCGTTATCATCTTAAACCCTGTGTTTGTACTGGAGATTTTTTGGGGCGCAGTCGACTGTTAGTTGCATCTTCTATATAATTATGAATCGACAGCGCCGTGTTGCTAAGGATATTTGGTAAGCAGATTGAGTCGGCGAAGATGTGGTGGTGGAATGTCGCTCAGCACTAGTAACCAATGTGTTGGTGTAGATTTGATTACTCCAGCGATCATTCTTATGGTGTTATTTCACTGGACATATATCTTTAACACGACCACTGTTGATCCATAGTGACGCGCAGTATTCAGCTACGGAATAAACTAAGACTTATTTAAGTAGTAAACTTAGTACCTAAGAGCTAAGCCTGAAGAACTGAGTGTGGATGCCGATGCCCCCCATGTTGTGCCGCAGAGCTTCTGAATGATGTTATTTCTGGTTTTTAGCTTCTCGCCAACTATACTTAAATGTTCTCTAAAGCTTAAGTGAACGTTAAGGTTTCTTGACACCAGATTGATGTTTAGGTGGAAGTAGGTTACTTCGGTCATGGAGGTATTGGGGCGAAGTCTCCATTTTTGAAAATAATTACCTCTAAGTTTTTTGTAAGAATTTCTTCAGCTTCTTCTAGTGACTGGGGTTAATGTAACTTGGCACACTTGGTAATTTTTGGGTTAATAAAACCCAGTCATCAGCATAGCCAAACTTTGTTGATGTTATTGTCGGTATGTCTGCGTTGTAAAGGCTAAAGAGCAGTGGTGCCAGTACCGAGCCTTGTGGCAGACCATTTTTTAGTTTTCTGTGGGCGCTTACTTCGAATCTTATAGTTACTTGAAATACTCTGTCGCCGAGCATATTTTCTATTAATCTAGCGGTGAATTTGCAAAGGATAGTGCATAAGAGTTTATACATTATTATT